GGCAGGGATACTGAGCAGAGTCGCAGGCTGCACACCTGGAAACACAGATTTGGCTCAGACTCCAAGGGGCCTCTCCAACACTGAGTGGGAAGAGCGCAGCTTGACCCAGGAGCCACACACGGTACCAYCCACCCTCCAGCTTGTGAATCCTTATGAAGACCTGCAGCAGCAGTGACTGAGTTCACCCCAACAGCACTCCCCTAAAAGCCCTCGCTTTCCTCTCTTCTCTGCTCAGGGTGTGGGGCTGCGCTTCAGAGTCTGGAAAATGCCTGCCTCTCTTCTCCAGGTGCCGGGAGGGAGTGCCTGACCAGGGACGTACGGCTCATCCAGAAGGGGCAGAGGAAGGGCTGAAAACTTGGCCTGAGAATCTTCAAGGGATCCTTGCATGGTACCCAGAAGCCCTTTCTTCACCAAGATCCCTGGCACTATGTGGAAAGGACGAAACATGAGAGTCCTACATTCTCCACTCAACTCTCTACCCTGATGTCTCCATGCATTTCCGGTAATGCAGACCTTCAACTATGGCTGCTCCTTGCGCCCCAAGGAACATCTCAGAAGAACTTGGCACGCTCTTCCACCTGGCTGCTGTCATCTGGGTAAAGCTGGTTTATCTTCCAGTACTTTCCCTTCCCTTTCATCTTGAAGATGGCAGAGCAGGTACAATATTTGTGGGTTTCACAAGCTTAGTAAACCACCCCCCCCATCTGTGACTGCTTTGGCACCTCTGAGCAGAGTAAGGCACTGTTAAGCAGGACAGGAATGGCACCTCTTAACCATTCCCGTGGCATGGAAAAAAAAATTCATTCAAATTTATTAATTTTTTCAAGGGAAAAAATGCTCAGGGCAGCTTTTCCTCTTAAATTCTCCTTCATTTCCCCCAAACCTTTCATTCTTTCAATGGATCTACTTCATGCCCTCTAATATTTTTCTAGGCATCTGAACAGAGCCTTCAGTGAGCACATCAGGTAGGAGCCAGAAACGTACTTTACCAACAATATGTGCCAATCAAGCCACYGACCTCGCTCTTCCCCATCAGCACTAGCTCCTTGGAGGAGCCAATCACAAACCCATCAGGTACCCGAGAAGCAACACRTGACAGTATCCCTCAATGCGCTCCAGTCTCCTCACCTACAAAATAAGGAGGTTCGGTCTTAAAAATCCCTTCCTGCTGTAGAATTCTGTGATCTTAAAATTTACGCAGAAAGGATGAAACATGAGAGTCCTACATTCCCCRCTCAACTCTGTATCCTGAGGTCTTCACGCTTTCCCAGGACCTGCSGTGTGCAGTTCAGTTTGGCCACCTTGCGATTCCCTGAGACACACTTGAATAATTACACAGTGAGRAAACGCATCCTGCACACAGAGGAGGCCTCTGCCCTGGCTGCAGAAAGCCCTAATCTCAGGTCTCTTCATTCCAAAAACCAAAAGGTGAATTTTCTCTTTGGAAGGTCATGCAYAATCCCTTATGAATCAGGATGGCTGATTTTTATGTCTTTTTTTTTTTTTAAATCTCATGTACCTTCTTTCTTTCTCATATTAAGAAAAAAATCATCTCTTATCTTTACTTTTAAGAATATTAMAATGAGGCTCAGTGCCAGAGTCTCCAAGGCCTGAAAGCAGCTCTATCCATGGAGGTATCTGGGCCAGAAACCTGGGAGCCAGTCTCAACATTTCCATCTCCCTGGCCCCATGGTGACCAAGAGCTGCTGATCTGGCTCCTAAATGTATCGTAAATGTCCATCCCCATTGCCTTCAGCTCTCCCAACTCCCACTGCCTTGCCCCAGGGAGGAGGGGCCTCTGCACATTCTCCACCAACCCACCTCCTGCCCCACCCATTTCCTAAGCCACAGTAACCTTTATAGGATGCACATGGTGTTACATCACTCCTAGTGTCAGACTTCCCTGGGGTCCCCACTGCTTCCAGGAGGTTGTTCCAAATCCTTCAGAATTCTTAACAAAACATCTGATGCCTGACTTTCCCATAGCTGAGCTCCTTCCCGCATCTGGGCTCTCAACTTGCTCTTTCCCTTGTCCAGCACAGTCCTTTCCAGAGCTCCTTCCTCCACAGCACCCACGTGCTTGCTCCCTTTCGCCTGCCTGTTCCAGCCACTCTTGAAGCTCAGTTCGAATGCCGTTGCCTCTGGGAAGCTCCCCTGGCCACCCACGGCAAGTCCCTCAGGTACACCTGCTCTGTGCACCTGGGTCTGTTTTAACCAGTGACTTTTTTTTTAATAATTTTTTATTGGTTCTTTTTAGTTCCACATGACAGTAGAGTCCATTTTGATATAAATACACAGCATGCAATATATGTTATTCCAATGAGGACCCCAGTCTTTTGGATATATGTGACGGTGAGATTCACTGTGGTGTATTCATATAGGTACACAGGAAAGTCATGACAGACTCATTCCACTGGCTTTCCTTTTCCTATCCTGCTTCCCTTCCCTCATTCCCCTTTGTCTAAGCCACCGAACTTGCATCTCCTGCCTCTTATTGTGGATTAGCTTCCACATATCAGAAAACATTCGACCTTTTGGTTTTGGGGGATTGGCTTATTTTACTTAGTGTAATAGTCTCAAGACCCATCCATTTGCCAGCAAATTCAATAAAGTCATCCTTCTTTATTAACCAATGACTTTTTACCATCTACCTTCCTCCCAAAAAACTCCGTACAGGGCAAGGGGCAAATCTCTGTGATGGTTCTTGTACCCAAGTCCCCAGACAAGAGTTTCAGAGTATTACAGATTCTACTTGACCAAAAGAATGAAAATGTGGGAAGAAAAAGGAAGAGAAAAGAGAGATACTGTAAAGGTAAAATTTCTAAGCTGATTCTAAGCTGCAAAAGTCTGAGTTAAAGTGTAAAAGACCGGGCATTGTAAGGTTTCTAAATTACAAGGCTTGGGCTAAAAAATAATAGACCAGGTATTGTTAAAATTCCTCTGCTACCCCCGGAACCTGTAATCTCTGTAGTTGTTAGGACAATACCTGAACTGCCCAGTAAATATTTCCAYTGATTCCCTGGTTGTTTATTAGCTAAGGGCTCCAAGTAGCTCGGCACGGAAGCATCCAGGCCACAAAACCAATCAGTTTAAATGCGTACCCCGCTTAGGAGTGACCAATCACCCCTGCCCAGACTGTTCCCGCCAATGAATGTACTAATCATGGCTCAGAGYTGTTGTTCAATTTTCCCGCGCCTCAAGATGATTTGTTCTGATGTATGCAAAGCCCCCCACCCTCTCCAAAAAGTGTACTTAAGCTCTGCTTGACCTCTGCTCTGGGCTCTGGGCTGCTCTCCTTTCTCGAGTGGGCATGGAGCCCTAGCATGCTGGTTCAATAAATCCCCTTTTGCCAACTGCATGGAGCTAGTCTCTTGTGGTCTCTTCCTCCGACGTTTCGCCGGTCCCTCACGATACAAATCATTTATACTCCTGCAGCCTAGCCACACATCTGCCCCCTTTTTTTTTTTTTTTTTTTTTGAAAAAGGGTCTCACTCTGTCGCCCAGGCTGGCCTCCAACTCACCAGCCTCCCTCCTCGGCCTCTGGTGCAGCACACTCCAGCTCCCCACTCCTGCCCATTCTTGATGGTACAGAAACAGGAGGAGAGAGACGAAAAATGAGGAAAGTTTAAGAGGATGAAGATAGGAATAGTGAGAAAAGAAGTGAAAGGATCACCCCATGATTCTTTGGGACACCTTCAAAAAAAAGTACCAGGACTTTGGTGTTTTAGAAAAGTTGGCACACGACCTTTCTTCCATCTATTCTTACCTTTAGAATGCCCCAAGTGGAGAAGGTATTCCAGAAAGGAGGACAATATGGGGAATTGAGGTGGCCAAGGAAATAACGCTTTTGTTTGAGGACAAGGCACCGAGCATCCATGAACTTGGGTGAAATTTCTTGTCCACAAAGAGATAAAACAAAGTGACCTCYGGAGGTGCCCTCTGGGGCCTTTGTAGAACATGGAAACCCCAGTTCCCGTGGCACCCACTTACCGCTGCCTCTACCTCCATCTTAACCAAACCATAGGATGTTTCAGTGCACTGAAGGTCAAATGAAGGTCACTGACGTTTCCCTCACTACAGGGGTTTCAACCACCTAAATCTTGAAGCCCACCATGAAAATGCCACCTGCACTGAGAAAGCCACTCAAAATCCAAGTTCCTCACTGGGAACAAGGGCCAAAGGTGGGGCTCTCTTGAAGCCCATGACTAAGAATGAGTGACTAAACTCATCTGGCAAAAGCAAATCAGAGCAGAAATGCTTACCACCCAGGACTTCTTGGCAACCTTTTTTTTTTTTTTTTTTTTTTTCAGTTAAAATAATGATTTTCACGTAACACCCAAGTTCCCCTCCACCCAATATATTTCAGACACTGGCATTTCATGTCTCCTCCTGCTCAATCTCTCTAGCTGATCTYCTCTTTCTTTCTTTTTTTGTACAATGAGATACAACAGAGTCATTCAGTAGAGAAAAGCAGAATCGGGACACAAATAAATGAGACAGTTTGGCAGCTCTAGGATCATTGTTCAGTGAAACAGATACAAAGTCATTTCCACCAACGGTGGTACTTATAACAATACTGAATGGAAGGGTACGAGGACTCTTGTGAGGCAATCAGGAGCAGTGTGTTACATTGGCCAACACCAAGGACGGCCCCATCTGTTTAAAAACCTTTAGAAATAAACTGGAGGGTGACTTATGCTCACTGTAAACTCCGTCAGTGCGGCCTGTGCTATAAATTTGGTGGATTTAGTCAGCGTGGCTGCCCAGAGTGGAGGAGCACAGCTAATAATTCTCCTCCGAGGACTTCTCCGAGAAGTCGTCCGGGGCTCACAAGGACTATCGATCTGTTCATTAGCACAAGTCAAAGTTGCATGAGACTAATTGAGAGCGGTCTTCTCATTAATAGTCTGTGACAAAACAACAGCTGTACAGTCATTAAAAAAGAAAATAAAGCCCAGAAATTCACATTAACATCAAATAATGGTTTGCAGGCTACTTACATCAGTGTCGGGTCCCTTGTCTGCACCCGGGCATGAAAAAGTAACAAACTCATGGCACCTCTTGTGTACCACAAAACAGCAAACTGAGAGAGAGAAAAGAAAACGGAAGTTAATATAGGGGCTTTGTTCTCCAAACAGGGCTACGTACTGTTAGAAGTTGTTTTCATTTCAATGTAAATAAAAATCTTATAAATGGCCATGAGAAGGCACTTCACCTTCATAAGCAACATTTTGTATGGATTGGACTCACTGATGACACAGTCACAAAATGCCAGAGCTGACAGGAGCCCAGGAGACCTATGCTGTGGTTCCCACCCTCTAAAGTTGAGGGACAGGGAACCTAGAGACTGCAAGACAGTTTTCCAAGGTACAAACCAGAATCAAAACTTAAAGCACCTTGCAACATCCCCTACGAATACATACGTGCACTCACATTCGTCTGTGCATATACATGAGCAGACACATGTATGTAAACATTATACCCTGTGGGTGAAAATAATGCAAATATTAAAAAAAGAATAACGGATTATGAATAACTCCTGAGAATCCCTTAGTGTGGTTTGCAAGACATCCTCAGTGAATTCTAAACTTAAGGGACTCATCAAGGCACAACCCAATCTCCAGAAAACAGCCCTCTGAAATGGGAGAAGTTGGGGTGCACTGAACAACTTCTGTCTGTTTGCTACAGGTGCTGACATGAGTTGAGGGAGTCCCTGCAAATCTAGCAAAATCTATTACACAGCAAGTATTTTCCAGGCTCCACATGGTTTTGATACCTACTCCTGGAGATGTACCAATAAAATAATCTGTTAGAGAACTTAGTAAGCAATCCCCTAGAGGTTTTCAGGGATGACGTAATGTGGGGGAATATGAGCAATATCTAGTCCTTCAAAGCCTGAAGTCTAGCTTCAAAGGGCAGCCTCCATGACTGTGGGTCATCATTGGATAGTAAAAAGGTTCTAACGATATGCTCTCAGAGTGTTGGGGAGGTCGCAAGCTGTGGTTTGAATGTTTGTTTCTTCCAAAGCTCACCATGAAATGTGGTTGGACTGGAGTGGTGTGGGGAGGTGGGACCTTGGAGAGGTGGCTGGGCCGTGAGGGTTTGGCCCTCACGAGTAGGACTAATGCCATTTCAAAAAAGCAAGTTGAGCCCCCTTTGCTGCTCCCATCGTCTAAGTTGTGCCCAACGCCTGGAGGAGGCAGCAAGAACACCCTTGCCAAATTTTAGCACCTGATCTTGGACTTCCTAGCCTCCTGAGGAGTGAGAAAATAAACTTCTGTTCTTTATAAATGACCAGTCTCAAGTATTCTGTTATAGCAACAGAATGCAACTAAGACACTGCACCAAGAAAGCCAGAACTCCTCTAATTCTCAGTTTGTGTGCTATTTTCTTCTCTCGCCAATGATAATGCAACTCCCTGCAGATATGTGAGTACATGAAGGAGATCAAAGAGGGTGAGCCATTTCAGTGGGTGGGAAAGGACAGCAGGTTTTCTGAGTGCTTGAATTCCCAACAGGAGGTCAAGTACTGAGAGAGGACTGAGAGGACCATGAGTGGTCAGAAAGAAATTCAGAATATTTTTGATGAGCCTTGGAAGTCACTGAGAGGTTTTACACTGAGAATAACACAGACAAAAGCAGTATCTAAGATATACAAATGGTAGCAACAGGAAGAATTTAATAGTCTAGATGTGTGGCCATAAGACCCAGTTACAAGGCTTTTGCATAGCAGAGGTATGGAAGTAATTGTCCATCGCTATTCAGGATGCCAAGATACGGAAGTAACAGATGCCAGAGAAATTTCAGAAGAATTTTAGGACTTGCTGATTAACCATAGGATGCGCTGCACTAAATATCCTATTTCACGTGCGCACACACATACATATGTACACACAGACGCACATCCCTATACAAACCCAGAGGATGAAGAGATGGGGTTTCCCTATAAGAGAAGAAGAATCAGGGGTGATTGTTGGGTGGGAGCCATCCACAGAAAACTTAATGAATGAAAAGATCTCATATAGGAGCACCCTTTTAGAGGTGGAATTGCCCAGGAGAGGGGTTATCTTGAGCTGCTACACGCCATCTACCAYGCCCAATACACCTGCCCACCCTTGTGCACAGCCAGAGGCTGGAGGAGGTTGGAAAGAAGCAGAAGAAAGGGCCCCCTGGTTGCCTGGGCAGTGCTGAGCCAATCAAAGGGCAGCACTGAGCTCCTGGGAGTCCTCAGAGGAGCGTCCTTTCCACTGTGTTCTGCTAAAAGCATCTTGATTGCAAAATCCTCCAAGGATAGATAATAAAGCAGGGCTTCGAAGGYGCAAATTAATCTGATCTGCTCACAGCCCCCAGGCACAGAATCACTTCTCGTTCACTGGAATCAGAAAAGATCAATTATGAACAGAAGAGGTTAGAGCAGCATTATTCCTGATCAGGGTTTATTCTGGAGACGGTGTTTGGAGAGGAAAATCAGCCTTCCGATTTCCCACTTAATTGTTTAAACACCCAGGTCCTTCATCCTTTTTATTTTTTTTAAGTCCTCTCCACATTTGGATGAACAGTGTTCAGAAAGCCCATATTTGTCAAACCCCTTTGGAAAGACGTCTCGTCTTCTGCATCTGTCATTGCTATCTGCATCTACACATCAACGCAGTGACACAGCTCCACCTGGAAGTATTGCTATTGCACACCTAATAAAATATGTCTCATTTCAATTTTTTTCCTGAGAAAAACCAGGCCATTACTGCCCAGTACAACTTACAGGGAAGCAAAAAAAAAAAACCCACCCACCCCCAAATTACATCCCTGCAGCCTGCCTTAGGGGCTCCCTCCTCCTCTTCTATGCACAGAAGCTTCCCATTTCAATGAACAGATTCTACCAACAGGAGACAGACAGGAGGGAGAAGGGTCTTGTGTTTCCAAAGAGTCACACTCACAGATGGAGGTTATCTGAGGACAAAGACCCTATAGGCCTGTTCGAAAATTCAAGATTCATGAAAGATGACCTCCAAAGGACAAGGAAATAGAATCTGCCCAACCTGGATGACCAGGGAGAGAAAGCCTGGTTGTACCTTACCTTTAACCCCACCCCCGTCCCCCATGGAAAAGATGGAGAAGAGGACCTTGTAGTTGGGCTGACTCTGGCTGGATATAGCATTTATCTGGGAAGGTCTGCCCCAGAACACCCAGCCGTGACCAGAGATTCCAAAATGGCTGGTCTTGACCATTGGTTTCAAGTTGCAAACTAAACTGGGTAATTCACATGCTATAAGACAATATAATCAAACAAGAAATTTGAAAAGTCTTGCTAGTGACATTGAAAGAAGAGGAATAGATTGGGACAATAAAATAAGAATTCACTGGACTTACCTGGAGATGGCCAGTATAGGTCTTTCCCTGGTTAAAAAATCGGGAGTTATTATCTTTCATATTTTAAAATCTAAAGAGGGGATGGGGTTGTGGCTCAGCGGTAGAGCACTCACCCAGCTTGTGCAAGGCCCTGGGTTTGATCCTCAGCACCACATAAAAATAAATAAATAAAATAAAGGTATTATATCCAACTACAACTAAAAAAAATAAAGGAATTTATCTTACCATGTTAATGTGGAGTAAGGGGAATTGGGGAGAAGGGGAAATAGGTGGTACCTGTCTCATGGTACACCTTCAACAATACCTGCCTSACCTGGACAGTCAGGAAGACAAACTGGTAGCCCCTGAGCTGGGAAGAAGTGGAGACACAAATCAAGGCAGATTCTTTCTGCATCATGGTTTTTCAGGGGTCCAGACTCTTGGTCCTTGAACAAATCTGTGYGTAAGAAGCCACAGGCTGCCCAGAAAGTCTGAGTTGGAGCCTCATTTCAAAGACTATGGGTCACCTGCGTCTGTGAAGCCAAACGAGAGGATGGAAAGCAGGAATCCAACCGTATCATAAAGACACAAAGTCAATCTTCACGCCATTAACTGCTAAGCACAAAATCACTTTCCTCTAATCCTCTGCATGACACGCTCACGCTGCCTCCCGGACATGGGTGACTGGATAACGCACACACAGGAGAGGACAGCGCAGTGGAACAAAGAGTGACAGAGACCACCGGCTCCGCCAAGCACATTCCTCAACACACCCTGGCTGTGGAGTTGAGAAAGCCACCATCATCGTGCAGGTGACCACCTGAGGGCTCTTGATCCTAGACAAGGTCTCCTAGAGCGATCCTGAGAAAACCTATGTCCAGAAGCCTTTCYATACCCCATCCATGCATAAAGGTTTGACTAAAAAAAATACGGTGAACTGATGCTACGGATAAGGAAGGGGCTGTAGCAGAGTACTTGCTGTCAGTCAATGCTGACTCCCCCTCAGAAGTGCCATCTGCCAGCACCGAACACCCGCAAATCAGTAAGTACAGCAAGGGTTCTAACCCAAGGGGAAAGTTCAGCTAACAGTAATCAGTCACCACTATATACCCACTAGGATGGCTATTGTTTTCTTTTAAAAAGAGGAAGAAAAGAGAAGGTGAAAGGAAAACTGTTGGCAAGGATGCAGAGAAATTGGAACCCACATCCATGGCTGGTGGGAATGTGAAATGTACAGCTTCTTGAACAGTCTGGAGGTTTGCTAAAAAATTAAACATGGGATTCTCATATGATCCAGCAATTTCACTTGCAAAGTGAAAAGAATTGAAAGCTGGTACTTAAACAGATATTTGTACACCAAGGTTCATAGAAGCATCATTCTCCACAGTTAAGAGGTGGGAACAACTCAAGTGTCCGTTAACAAATGAATGGACAAACGGAAGGTGTTATGTACATTCAAGGAGCAAAATCCTGACATGTGCAAGAACAACGATGAACCTGAATATATGGTAAGAGAAAGAATCCAGAGAAGAAAGGACAGATGTGTACGATCCCACTCATGTGTGGCCGCTACAACAAGTTCAGAGAGACAGAGAGTCGAACAGGAGTTCCCAGGGACAGGGCCAGGAAAGGAATTGGGAATTGGTGAACAGTGGGTTCAGTTTCTATTTGAAATGATTAAAAAATAAAACCTCTGGAAATGGATAGTAAAGGTGACTGCACAGCACTAAATGTACTT